ATAAAATTTGATTGCAATTATATCCAGCATTGACTTATTTATTCTTAATTGATTTAATTCATTAGAGTAGAATTTCTATTGTCTTAAGGATTAAATTTTCATAAAATTGGCGCGGTTATATCTAGCACCTCGGAATATTTTGAGTTATTATTTCGATGACTCAAAGTTTGCATTTTTGCAATTATATTAATGTAACTGTAATTTATATAATTATGCGTATATTATGCATAATATTTCTGATAATACTAATGGGCTTGGCAAGACAAAATTGTGTAAAAATATCGGAAAGAAGGCAAAGTTAGATGTTTATCGTCCATGGGACGATCAGCGTTGGTCTTGATAGCAAGGCTATATTTTCTTTGATGAATATAGAGCAGTCTTGTATCCTTGATTTAAAGAATAATGAAGGCATGATTATATTATAACTGTAATGATAAAGTCGGTTGATTAATAAATATAGTTTGACCATGTGTTTATTGTTTGTTTAAGCTTTTATGAATTGAATTTGCGTTACAAAAATTGCGAAGTTTTATGATTAGTATTATATGACGATAAAGTCTTTTCAAATTACAACATTACACTTATATTTTTGTATCCATCATTGTAATTTAAATTGATTTTCAATAGAGTGTAGATAGGTAATGATGATTTATTTCTAGTTAATTATAGAGTCAACGATAACTTAATAGCAATTGGAATCACGCTTTGATTATTAAAGTAATGTATGTAAAAAAATTTTAACGGAATAAATAATATGGTAAAATAATGCAAGTGTATAAATTACTTTGATAATAACGAATCCTATAACGCAAGAGATAATTCTTATGGTAATTATCAACAATTAATCTTTTTTTTTAAACAATGTTAAAACTGCAATGACGTTTTTGCTTCCGTGTATTGTATCATAAAACATAGTCGAGCGTGATCAATCAATTTACAAGTAAGATCGTGTAGATGATATCTCTGATTTTCTGCATTCGTTCGCGTTGCATCAGATGCGTTAGATTATTCATACATTCACGATTGAAAAGAGTTAGCAATATAAAAAAATCATTGCTCATTACCCTGAAAACTATTTCAAGCACCAAAGCTACAAATGCTAATCGCAGCTTTGTTTGTCAGCCTCATTAGACGCAAATAAATTAATGGACCATTCAATGCCGTAGCATCCTCCACAGACGACATCCCGCATAAACATCAGATTTTGCTTTTTTTCTTATCGCTTCTTTCAACTATATTCTGTTTAATGACTAATGGCCTTGTTATACTTTCATAGGTATCATTACCGTTCCCGTAATTGATTATACAATTTTACGACAATGCTTCACGGTAATTGGCACGTCCTCGATCGATTTAATCAGGATTTTTTTTTTCGGCCCAATTTAATTCGCTTCATCGACCGTCAGGAAGCAATCGAAATCGTGGATTCGAAAATGTATCGCGAAGGTCAATTGAAACTGAAGTAAATAACCGTTATTTTTAATATAATTGTTTGTTAATTGTTTTTTAAGAATAATTCTTTTCTCCTCTCTTCTTTTTAAAATATTTTAATTATACACTGAAAGAAAAGATTGGCTACTGCAGCAAATTAGATTGTAAAATATGGCATAGCATTTTTAATTAGCTGCAGCCAAGTTTTGGTTGCTATAGCCAATCGAAATCCTATACCAACAACCAAAAATTGGCAAAAACTGTTGCAATTAAATTAAAGGTGCTATGCCATTTTATCGTCTAATATTTTATCGTCTAATTTGCTGCTGCAGCCAAATCTTTTCTTTCAGTGTACATGCTGAAAAAAATAATGTTATATTAACAGCATTATTTTTAGTGTATAAGACATTGTAAGCTGTAAGATTATCTTTCTGCAGTTCTTACGTTCGCTGCAACATTAATTACAAATGCTAATAAAACCTCTTATTGTTTGAATAATGGGGCAATCTTGCCATCTATTTTCACAGAATTATGAAATATTACCATAAGCAATACAGATTAAAATAATAGCTCATTAATTGCAATCAACGTTCGCAAAGATGAAACTTGCAAGTCAGAGTGTCGATGTATGTACATATGTAATAATTCTTTTTTTATTATAGCAATTAAGGAATTGTTCGTTCAATAAAAAGATTATTGCGCATCTATACGAATCGAAAGTTGGTTTTGCATTAATTCTATTTTTATAAATCTCAAATAAACAAATGTAAGAGAGCCACAAATAAATTTGAACTCATGAGCAAATTAATCGGTGCGATGGATCAGTGCTGTAAATCCTCCCTCGAAGTATCACACATGAAAGAAAAGATTGACTGCTGCAGCAAATTACATGATAAAATATGACATAGCATTTTTAATTGGCTGTAGCAGACAATTTTTGATTGCGTTAGCTTATCCGCAACCAAAAATCGGCTGCTGCAAATCAAAAATTAAAAATGCTATGCCACATTCAGCCAATCCTTTCTTTCAGTGCAGAGATGCCATAATCGCGTTTGCAGAATGAAGGGAAGGCGATGAGAAAAAGGAAACGCGCGGCAAGAAGCGCATGACGACACGCTTGAGCGCGAAATATCTCTCAGACAAGTGGCCTCGTTAATTAAACCGAATTTAGGAGACTGAGGTCATCGTGCAATCAGTCGCAAGGTCCGAACCTTTCCTCAGCTCGCAACTGCTGACCGAACACTAGCCGGATATCGGAAGACATTCTGTTTCTCCTTGCGCGTGATACCGCGGCTAATTGGAGGCACGTTAATTAACAGGTTAAGGTGAAGAATTCCATTTTTAACGAAGGTCAAGAAACCGCGGCAGCCGGTCACGCGACGAGAGCTACGTTTGATGCTGCGTAGCAGGCGCTTTCTCAACGCGAGGCATGGATTGCACGAACAGGGAGAATTGCTTGAAACGATTGCCGCAGCGCGACTATGATAAATGGGTCAGATATAGTTTGCGTTTGTAACGGCAGTAATTAAATCGCAGTTCCATTTTGACGTTGATTGCCCGATAAAGTAAATCGTAAGCTGTCTTGCGTACGGTATATGTTGTTTCGTTCGAATCTATAATTATCACACTCGCATTCTTTTTTAAATGGTCTCAAGAAATAAAAGTATCTTTTAAAAGAGGAATAAAATTTCAGCTAGGAATCTCTTGATATTTATATATTTGATAGTAAAATAATGGAATTATACTCGGAATTATACATACCTCGCGTTATTGTTATCGCTATTGTTATCAAAAGTATGTCAATATAAAAATGCTATTTTTTTCAAGGTAAGACATTTGCGGAGTTACGTAAAAAGATAAGATTAATTTTTCCTTTCTAATAATACGTTCGCGGATGCGCAGTCTATTACCGTAATTATTACACGCGCGGATGTCATACAGGAAATTTTTTTTATATCGGAAGTTACGAGGTATCTTGAGGGAATAGTATATTGCTGTATCTTCGTAAACTGTCAATTATATTGGAATTAAATACGGTATTACAATAATGATTATGTGATCAATTGATTTTGTAAATGTTAACAAGCAATTATACAAACGCGACTGTCACTCTCTATTTCTTAGATCCGGTGAATAACTTAAGCTCAACAACCATATCAGGCGTATAATTCAGTGGTTGCAAATTAATGATTGAATACATGACTGAAAGAATATCATGCTCTGATAGGAAAAAGGATATCATATTTTAATAATAATTTTAGAATTTAAAGACGCGCCTGTAATCGATCGCTTTAAAGAGAGGGCGTTCTGTAGTTTGAGATAAGATATTTGCATACTGAGACAACGTTCTGCAACACCGGTTGACGTCATAATACCGCACTCACGGAACAGAGATCCGGATTCCGATCGAGAGCATGATGCGATAGGCATTGAGACGTAACGTTTGGAACATGCATTAAGTACTTGCATGCATTATTTTGCCATAGAAGATTACGCCGGATAATTTGCTGTCTCTATATATATAGCGGCGAGAGAAAAGTTCTTTGTTAAAAAAAAATAGTACTTGTGACTCAGCCGAGATAAATCATAATTTGCAATCTTATTTTCTTCTTCGTTCTTATTCCACAATTATATCACTGAGCGGATCTCTTCCTTCCTCTTTCTTTTTTCTTTTTTCTTTTTTTTTCTCTTATGCGTATGTAGTCTCATGGGTACTCGAATTCTTCCCTTCAAAGTTTTTAAACAATTCAATTATATAAGAGCTGATTTGCTTTAAGATTAAAAATATTTAAAAAGTCTCAAAGCATCTCTTTCTTTAGAATCAAATATATAAAATATCAAATATAAAAATAAAATTTCTTATGTATAAAATGAAAGAAAAATGAAACTAAAATGATAACGTAAATTGATGTAAAACGTTTAATAAAAAAAAAGTACATTTTTGAAACGTCTAAAATTTTTAATATATTTTGAATTTTTGAAATATATTCAAAAGTTCCAAAACTTTCAAAAATTATTTGGTTTCGAATTTAATATTCGAAATTTTCTAATTTGAAATTTTTGTTACGTACGTTCGTTACTCAAAATATGATTACAGTATTACAAATATAATCTAAATTTCATAATAAAATTATGTTGTATTTTTTATTAACGTTGCGTATTTCTCAACATTAACATTGTTGGATTACATAAGTAATCATTCTTAGTTACTTAATTTCAAGACATAATTCGTACATTTATATATAGGAATACTTTCGTTACTTTTCAAAGGCATCCTTCCTGCTTCCTCGTCATGACTAGCTGAAAAATATCAAATGTCATGTTGATTATGACGATCCATAAAGAGCTACGTTTGCCTTTCTCGCGAAGCTGTTCTCGAACAACTTCCTATTCGCGGTTTAGCGAAGATCACCTTGACCATCGCTCGCGCCCCTTGGGAGGGTAATGATTCGGGCGGGAGCGCATGAGGGGGGGACACAGGGAATCAGACGCAGATGACCTCCAACGTCGACATATATAAGTCCCAGGATCGGCCCCCACCTGAAGTCAAACGGTCCTCTACTGCCAAGACGGGCAGCAGCTGTAAGACGTTCTCCGACATCTAGGATTCACCATCACTGTCACGGGAAACCAACTCCGCTACCTACTCTGGACATTCGCACGGTAGTAGGCGTTTCTTCCGGAGCCCCCTACCATCCGCGAGTCCGCGACTCCGAGAACGTACCCCCGCGTGGCAGGTGGTACACCACCGTTGCGCGGTACTCCTAGACTCGCCGCTTAACGAGAGTGCAACTGCAGTTGGCGGCCGACCTGTGCACGGTTCACGGGGAAACGCGGAGAACGCGCTCGTTCCAACTCGCCGCAGTTTCGGGGGAGATCCAGAGAAAGAGAGATGAGGATCGTAAGTACGATGTGCCTGTGATATCGTATGCTTCGCGAATAAGCAAACATCGCGCGCGAATCGCAACAGCGAAAAGAGATCCGACGAGACCGGAAGAGTCAGGCCTCCCAAAGGTCTCAATTATTTCCGCAAGACGATACGTGCGGAATCGCGAAGTGTCGAGAGTGTTCGTTCTAGATTAGTGAGATCGTGCCGTTAGATCTTGTAAGATCTTCAACGTTTGTGAAGAACTCGACAGCAATGTGTGCGAAATTGTTTTCAAAAACGAGCATACGCGTCTTTACGAGAGAATAGAGAATTTGGGATTTTACTGACAGTTTATTGATTTTGATATTTACTTTGAGTTTTAGAAAATTCGTTAACGTTATATATAATTTACATGTAGCCCGTGAAATACATTTTCCCGATACGTTTTGCTCTAAATAAATAATTAATAAATTAATAAATTTTTGAAACAACAATGTTAGACATATAAACAGCTTAGCAGTAAGAAATCAGATCCAGGCTCCATTTTAAATTTATCGCTCGCGTAGAAGTAGCGTTGCGTTGGAGGTGAATAATGAATGAGAATCTTGTTTACACCGATTCAATGTAAAAGTAAAACTACATATCTACAACTATTCGATTCGACTTTCTACGTTCTTATTTCCCGAACCTTGCGTTCGGTCATAAAGTAAAGCATACTTTCTTTTCAATCATACAATTGATTCATACAATTGGTTCATACAATTGGTTCGCTCTCCGCTGTCTACCTAATAATTCCTATTGCAATTAAAGATACAGAAGAAAAAGAATCGCTCTGATTCACGGAGTTTAATTGAACGGAATTTAATCTTTAAGATGCATTTGGAATAATTGTCCCAGATTTCGAACTTTCCTTAATCAACGTTTAAAGATTTTAACAGATAGGTAATTTCAATTAACTACAATGAATAGCGTCGAATAAATAATCATTTAGAAACGAGAATCTTAAATGCAGTGATTCGGAAAAAGAAATCACTTCTACAATTTGACTTTTTCTATAATAATTATCCTTTCTCATACAATGTTCTCCTTTGACTTATGTGTCTTAATTACAAGCTACTAGATAAATGCAAATTAATGGAAGAGATTGATTAACCCTCTTCAGGGAAGAAAGATGCGCGCAGAGATAACGTCTGCAGCGAATGAAATCTGCAAACACTATGTAACAGTTCATTCACGAGATTCTAGCCCGTGGCGAGACAAGTCTGCGGCCTTGCCCCGGGCCGTTTAATCGTTTGTTGGCTTACCGGCGTGTCCGGTAAGCTTTAAATAGTTCACATGTTACGTAATGCATAACAAGAGTAATGTCATTTCTGAGAAGATCTCCTTGACAATCTCTAACGGTGATTTTCTAACTTAACTTAGATACATCTGTTTTGAAATAAAATGCTAAACGGAATTATTATGCGTAGTTCCCGCACGTTAGATTAATGTAAAATAAAAACATTATAAACAGTTGATATTAATTGAAATAATTCAAATTATTTTTGCCAAAACATTTTGATCTTGATTAATTTTAAAATTGTCTCACAATTTATATTTTAATACTCTTGATTTTTGCATTCGTTAAAATTTTTCGAAGTAGAGGCGGTTACATAAAATGATACATAAAAAGTAATAGTACTGTCAGAAATTCTTGTTTCTGCAAGTTACACTTACAACATCTTC